TTCCTTCCTTCCATCCTTTCTTCCTTCCTTCCTTTCTCTATCTTGAGTCTGTGATTTGAGTGGATGTCTGCTTAGTCTACACTTATGCCTGCCCACAGTAGGATCTGGATTTAGTTCCTTTTAACAGGTCTTTTTCAGGAAGTCAATGGCAAGCTAATCTTTTAGGCAATGTAAGAACCTCTCACGGCCCTCATGGTTGTCCTGAAAACCGCTAGCAGCATGTACCTGAAAGAGTGACTGGTGGTGGCCTCCTTCATGTGTTAATTACACATTCGTAGTCTATTATGCATAGAAAGGGCACCTGCTGACAGCGCAAATGAGTAGCATCTGCCCTTCCTGTGCAGTGAGTAAATTGAAGGTTCATTTCTACAGGAGATAATAGTTTTCAGATTCCAGGCCCTATATCCCCTACATGGGGATGTACTTAACATTTAAATCATCTGCAGAGGAACCAGGCTCCTTCACATTTACATGTTTCAGGCTCCTGGCACTTCACTTAAAATGCTAGTTATCCCTAAAGGCTCCTTACCTCACGGCTCTATAAAGGCTTTGACAAAAATGTAGTAAAGAAGCACCAGAGACAACATGAGAAACTTACTTTAAACATAATTTCATGGCATTCTTAGATGCCGACAGCAATTGGTGGAAGATAATATTATTAAACCCATATTAGAATATCTGCTTCTCTACCTAGTAGTCTTTAATTCCAGCATCTTCATCTCATCAGATTTCTAAGTGGACAAAGATTCCCCATAGATTCATAACCAACTTCTTGGTGAAATGTCAAAAAATTCATTCACAAAGACCAGTATCACAAAATTCATTCACAAAGACTAGTATCACAAAAACACAGCTATAGACATCTATTCTAGCCCTATGAAATAAGTAGATCTTAAACAAACTAGATGCCTACTCACTGGGGAATGGCCAAGCATATTGTCATACATGAGGTTAATGAAATATTATTGTACTTTAAGAAAAGATGCACCTGAAAAATCATAGAAGGGAAGACTTCTACAAACTGATATAAAGTGAAGTCAGTCGGTCAGTAAGTATTGATTAAGCATTTATCATGTGCCAGGCACTGCACTACCTGCTTGCAGGAGGCAAAAATGCAGTCCTTGTCCTTAAGGAGGTCACTTTCTAATGGGGGACACAATATACAAAATACTGTATATATAAGAGATATACAGGGTAAATGGAAGGTAATCTTGGAGGGAAGGGCCTGGAATGAGAGGGAGTCTGGGAAAAGGAAGAGCAGAAAAGGTTGAAGGTGGAGTGTGACCTGAGTTTTAAAGAAAGTCAGGGAAGTCAAAAGGTAGAGGTGAGTATGGAGAACATTCTAGTAATGGGAAATAGCTAGTGAAATGTCACAGAGTTGGGGGATGAAATATCATGTGCAAGGAATATCAAGAAGGCCAACGTAACTGGATCATGGTGTACATGGAGGGGAGTAAAGTCTGTCAGCCAATAAACTTTTATTAAAGGCCTGCTATGTGCCAGGCACTATTCTAAATGCTGGGGATACAAAAAGAGGTAAAAGACTGTTCTTGTCCTCCAAGAGCTCACAAGGTAATGGGTGATAACAAGCAAAAAACTATGTACAAGCAAGATATATAAAGGATAAATAGGAAATAATTAATAGAAGGCACTAGAATTAAGTGGGGTTGGCAAAGACTTCTTATAGAAGATGAGATTTTAGTTGGGCCTTGAAGGAAGCCAGGAGACAGGAATGAGTGGAGATAGCATACCAGGCATGAGAGACCACCAGAGAAAGTACCCAGAATCCAGAGATGGAAGGTCTTGTTCATGGAACAGCTTGGAGGCCAATGTCACTGGATTAAAGAATATGCATTGAGAGGTAAGGTGTAAGAAGAATGGAAAAGTAGGAGGGACTAAGTTATGAAGGGCTTGAACGCCAAACTGACGATTTTTGTACCAATGCTACAGGCAATCATTTTGAAGGCTGAATAGAGGACTGGATTGGAGTGAAGAGAGACCTGAGGCAGGCAGACCCACCAGGAGGCTATTGCAATAGTCCAGATATGAGGTGATGCTTAGAGTGAAAGAAGATCGAAAAAGTAGGAAGGAGCCAGATTGTGAAGAGTTTTAAAAGTCAAACAGAATGGGAAAACAAAATATATATAATAGCAACAATATAAAGAACAAAAACAAAAAACAAAAACAAAATGCTATGTAATTAAACTATCAAGCATGGACCAGGAGAAGAAATGAGAAAATGTATCTCTTTTCCTTCTTTGCAAAGGTGGAAGACTAAGGGTGTGGAACACTGATTATACTATTAGATTCAGGAGACGTAATGATTTTGCTGAACTGTATTTTTTAACCCCCTCCCCACTTTATTATTTATTCTTTGTTACAAGGAATGGTTCATTGGATGAGCAAGTGGGGAAATTTGGAAATGAATTTGATGTAAAAACAAATGGTATGAATAATATTCTTTTAAAAGAGAAAACCAAAACCAATTCTCTCTCTCTCTCTCTCTCTCTCTCTCTCTCTCTCTCTCTCTCTTTTTTTTCAGTTAGTCAATGGGGTTAAGTGACTTGCCCAGGGTCACCCAGCTAGTAAGTGTTTATGGGTCTGAGGCCAAATTTGAACTCAGGTCCTCCTGAATTCAGGGCCAGTGCTCTATCCACTGCACCACCTAGCTGCCCCAAAAACCAATTCTCAAATCACAGAATAAGACATTTGAAAGGTCTATTAGTTGGAAGCCTTCAGGTGAGTCTAAGGCTGTTTTGTTCTCTGTAACAAAGATAATATCAGGATAATAATACCTGACAAATTGCCTCATCATGTAAAACTGCTCTTTAAATTTTAAAGCACTATACAAATGTTATCTGTTATTATTTGTATACCTCAAAATACTTCCTGGCCAAATGTCAAAAAGGTTCTTTCACAAAAATGTTGAATGAATTATTATCATCCATATACATTCTTCTGAATCGGTTATCTAGTCCACAATTTTCCAATCCGTAGTACCTTAAACTCTTGATACCTGGGGTTCTTATTTCTTTTTTGGGGGGGATGGGGCTAGGCATTGGGGTTAAGTGACTTGCCCAGGGTCACACAGCTAGTAAGTGATATGTGTCTGAGGCCGGATTTGAACTCAGGTCTTCCTGAATCTAGGGTCAGTGCTCTATCCACCGCACCACCTCGCTGTCCTGGGTTCTTATTTCTTAATAATCTATGAAGTTTAAAAAAATATTTCTCCTCCTAGGGTTCTACTTCTCTCACTCTAGCTATCTGTCTCTCAACCTCACTTCACAGTTCTTTGGCCTTCTGTAAAGAATTTGTTCCATAAAAATGTAAAATATTTTTACCTAAGCAATATAGTTTGTATTGGGAAACATTGATTTAGTCCTAAATGCCTTTACAATACATGATTCCCTTTAAAATATCACCAACAACTGGTGGTCCAGGTTTTCCTTCAGAGAAAGGGAGCTTTACTCTCTGTGTTTATGTGCACTAATTGACTCTGCAATCTATTCTCCAAAGAGCTGTCTGATCATCTTAATGCACTGCTGGGATTATTTCACTCCTCTACTTAAAACTTTCAGTGGCTTCACATTGCCTACTGAGCAAAATAGAAATTTCTGGCTTTTGCATTCAGGGTCCTCTACAATCTGGCTCCAACCTACCTGCCCAGCCTTATCTCATGTTATTTCCCTTCAAGGATCCTATCTTCCAGCCAAAATGAACTGCTCAGGGTTCCCCATTCTTGTCCTGCCCTCTCCCATCTCCATGCTTTTATTCACGGTGTCTACAAAGCTTAGAACAAATCCTTCCCTCCATGTTTGTCTATAAGAGTCCCTCTGTTCCTTCAAGGTCCAATGCAGTTATAGTCTCCTATAGAAAGATTTTTCTGACCTTCCAAGGGAAATAACATCTTCCTCAAATATAATATATTACTTTTTCTGGTCCTCTGCCAAGCATTTAACCTCAGTCTTCTTGATATCAAAATTATTTGTGTACTTGTTCTTCTCTTGCTCCTTACCAGCAGGACTTATGTTATGTATGTTTTTTTGTATCCCAGTGCCAAATTCTGAGCTTTGCACTCAGTAGGCAGTTAATTAATGTTTATAAGGTGCATATCTGTTGAACAGGGGGCTCAATCTATGTTTGACAAAGTACAATTAGAGCCTTCCAAATAATTAAAGGTTTTAACAATCATTTTTTAAAGCTATTCAATGGGGGCTTTGTTTCATAGACTCTGCTGCCCAAATATTGTGAAAAGGGGCTTTCTTTAAATTGAACTTTACCTGAACCATTTGGCCCTGCTTATTCAACAAGAAAATTTTTGCTACACAAAAAATTAGAAAGATACTCCAGATCAGTCTCCTCCAACAGATAATGGGAATCATACTACTTCTTAATCTCTAGATAGAAAGAGCACAAGCATGGACACTCAGTGAACTCAAAAAAGGATCTACATTAAAAAAAAGTGACAACTTATATTAGCTTACTTAATGCAGAAGAACAAATTCAGAGAAACAAGTTGGAAATAGTTTCTTGCTTTATGAAGCCCAAATGTATATGCCATCATAATGTCTAACCCCACCACGCATGAGATATCATATCAGTTTTATTATAGCCCACTCTTTTTGGTAGAGTCTGCACTCTTAAGATAGGAACTGGAAAATTTGTATAATCTATGTATAAACTGAAAAATAGCCACAAAAATTTACCTCAATATTTGAAAAGATCTGTGATTTCATCAGTTTGGGTACTTCTTTCACAGATCTCAAGACCATAAATGTAGCCCCCCCCAAAAAAAGTTTTCTTCAGAGGCCAGGCCTCTAGTGAAGATCTCCTCCACACTGATCAAGGCTTGTTCTTGGACAACAGACATGGAGTTCCACTGCCTCATGGGCATGGAATATCTGAAGGTTATGCCAGTGGAGCCCAGACTCGAGTTGGTCCCACCCATGACCAAAACAAGTGACACCTCAGATGGTGATGGAGAACACATGCCACCTTACCAGCAGTAGTCTAACAGATGTGGGGGCAAAACTGGGATGTAAACATGTTGCCAGAACATCGGGTAGAGCATAGCGGCAGACCCATGAATACAGGCAGTTAACTGCAAAAAAAACGAGTATCATGAGATCAAAAGCAGATCACAGACCGAGTGATACAAAATTAAAAAAAAAAAAAAGCAAGTTTGAAATCTTCACAGAATTACCTTGAATGATTCAATAGGTACAAAGTGTTTTATAACTGTAGCATGCATTTTAAATAAGGATTATTTTACTATTTATAATGCTATTAGCAACAATAATAATAGTTGACTTTTAGTATTATGCTTTAAAGTTTGCAAACACTATATAAATTACCTCATTTGATCCTTACAACACTGTGAACCAGATACTGTAGGACAGCAGTGATACTACTACTAATGATGCTATTAATTTTATACTATCGTTCACATTGTGTTAAAATGATAGATCAATAACAATACTCCAAAAGCTCTGTGATTCTACTAATGTGAGTACCTCCTCCACTGGTGTAGAGTCTACATCCTTCACATTTAGTGGTGGTTTCATAAGTTGCTATGGCCATAAAACCCATCCTCCCACCCCTAGTGGCCAACCCTTTATGAGCTTTCTCACACTTAGCTAGGCCTGCTGATCCTTGGGTGAAAGAACTTGCAATCCATCATTAGACTACTACTCAAATTCCTTCCAGCTTCACAGCCAGAGCGTGTGGTACTCTGAAACAACCTTTGTGAGAACCTAGGGTTTCCTGCATACCTTGAAACATGAGAGGATTTTAGTGGAGCAATTCAATAATAATAATAATAATAATAATAATAATAATAATAATAATAGCTCATTTCTGTAACATTCTATAAACATTTTCTTCAAAACATGTCTATGAGATAAGAAATATTGTACTTTTTAAAGATGAATTACCATCATCATTGTGTTTCAGCAAAGAAATAAAGATACAGCTACTAAAAATGACACATCCAGACAGCTAAAAGAGTGAAGCAGAATTAGAAGGATATATATATATATATATATACGTATATACATATTAGATTATTTGATCAAAATGAAAATAAATCAGATGTAATAAAGACACAGACAAATAGGCAACTAGCAAAATCTTTCATCAAATAAAATATCAACAGCTCATAATTTTATAGCACTTCATGGCTTACAAAGCAGTTTCCTCACAACAGACCTGGACGGCCATTTGTCGGGTGTTATTTTGGTAGGGACTCTTTTTTGGTTATATGTTGAACTACTTGCTAGCTGAAGTCCCTTCCAACTCTCAAATTTCAAGATTCTGTGATTCTGAGGTAAGTAGTAAGAGCATGATGATTCGCATTTTATGAATGAATGTATTTAAGATGTGAAATGAGAAAAGTATAAAACACTTAGCCAAATGTCTTGTACATAGTAAGCACTATATAAATGTTGTTATTATTAATATATTCTGAAGTCTCTGCATTAGCAAGAGGTAAATCTGAGACATGAATTCAGTTCTCCTGACTCTAAATCTCTCTTTAAAGAGACCAGGTTTTTCAAAAATACAAAATACCCAAACTATCAGAACACCAAACTGAGATTTTAAATAATGTGAGCTCAATAAAGGAAATTGAACTAGCTGTTAAGGAACAACCAATGTTGGTAGTGTGGAAACCTGATCTTGATGGACTTATGGAAGAATTCTATCAATTTTTAAAGAAAAATGAATACCCACACTATACATTTTTCTTAAAATCAAGGAAAAAAGCCCTGCATCAAACTCCCTTTATGAGACAAATAAAGTTTTTATACCCAAACTAGGGAAGGAAAAACAAAGAAATAAAGCCACATACCAATAATATTGATGAATATTAAGTAAAATTTTTAAAATAAAATTCTGACAAAAGACCATAGCAATTTATCCCAAAAAATCATTTAACTAACATTAACTAATATAACTTTCTAACTAATGTTTTACCAGAAAATAAGAATAGTTCAACATTAAAAATAAAACCAATGTAATTAATCAGATTAAAAACAAAAACATGCCAAAACACACAATTCTCTCAGATATAGAAAAAGTCTTTAACAAAGTAAAGAAATAAGGTATGTGTGTTGAGTTAGGAGTAACAGAAGCATGAAGATGGTGGGTGTCAAGGGGGTGGGAGAAGAATAGCGATCTTAATAGGTGCCAAAACAAACAGGATGCCTATGAATTCATTTTATTCAACAACTAAAACACCAACAAATCATTAAAACCCAAACGTGTGCAGAATACTGACATGGTTCCTGGAGCTGAGGTGAGAGGGAGATACGAAGATGAATTAGGGAGATTAGGAAGGGTAACAGAAAAATTACTGGATTTGAAAGCAGAAGACCTAATGCTTGAGTCTTGACTGCCACTTACTACCTGGGTAACTTGCACCAGTCACTATACCTCTATGGGCCTAAGTTTCTTCATTTGCAATACTTCACAAGGCTGTTGCACAGAAGGCACTTTGGAATTCATAAGCCCCAGTTAGTGAGAAATGGTGCGGAAAGATCACTTAACTTGGAGTCAATATGATCTCACTAGTACTGCTCCTCATCATCTCTCTCCTGGACTATTGCAATAGCCTTCTAAATGGTCTTCCTCCACTTCAATCCATCTTCCACTCATCTGCCAAAATGATTTTCCTAAAGTGTAGGTCTGCCCATGTCACTGCCCTCTCTTACTTAATAAAAACTCCAGTAGCATCCTATTCCTTCCAGAATCAAATATAAAATTTTGTTTGAATGAATGAAAAAGTATTTCATAAAAATTTACTATGTGCAAAGCACTGTGCTAAGGACTAAGGATAAAAAACAACATAGCCCCTGCTCTCAAAGAGTTCATATCTGATGGAGGAGACAATATACACACACACACACATATGTGCACGTGTGCACGTATGTGTGTGTGTGGTTTTAGCTGCAAGCTGACCATGAGAACAGTCATGTGGTCTTTTAGGGTACAACACCAAAACAGAGAGTAATGCATCTTTTAAAATATTATTTCCACTGATAAAACCATATCCACTTCTGATGTTGAACCACTTGACAAAGCAAATGACTTGCTAGTGGTCTCTGTCAGGCAAGGGAGATGCTGCCATTCGTGGGGTTCTTGGGCTCAATGTCTTAGGTTATTTCCACTGGAATCTGAGGGGAGGTAGTTGCTAGGGTGGTTTGATTTTCCTGACACATGCGGACTCCTGTTCCTCCTGGAGGTCTCTTTGCTGCTTCAGCTAGGCTAGCTCATGTCTGCCCTGTAGGTGGCAATATAAAGTCCTTCACACCCTCGTCACTTCCTACCTTTCCAGTCTGGCTACACTTCACGGACTCCCAGGCGCTCTACACCAGAGGTATAAAGCTTGTGTATGCTCCCACAAAACTTCTGAGACTGAACCAGATTAAACTGGAATTGGGAAATGCTTACCAAAATAAATAAGAATACAATACAACACAACACAGACAATACTAATCTGTGCTTTTCTAAGTCAGTATGTGGACCATAGGAACCCATTTCTATTTGAGCTTGATGCCACTGCTCTACACTGCCTCTTGTTTTTCCTCCCCCACAATATCACATCTCCCACCTCTGTGCACTTGCCTTGGCTGTGCTCCACACTGTCTTCCCTCCCGCTCCTGCTCCCTTGGCTTACTTCAGCACTCAGCTCAAATCCCACTTTCTGTTAGATGTTTTCCCCAGTCTCCTCCTCTCCATCCCCCACCCTCTTGCTAGTCCCTTACCTCCAAGATTCCTTTCCATTTACAATGCATACATCTTGTGTGTACATAGTTATCTGCCTATTGTCTCTCTCACTACAATGTTGGTTCCTCAAGAGCAGAGACCAAATTTTTGCCTTCCTTTGAATCCTTATTGCTTTAGGTGCTTAATAAACACTTACTGAGTGATAGTAGGTAATCATTAAAGCTTACTAAGCCTCATCATTTGTAAAACTGAGCTAATAACAGGCCCTGCCTCACAGGGTAGTAGTGAAGAGAGTGTTTTGCAAACCTTAAACGGCTATAGGAGTACAGATTTCTAGCTAAGCACAAATCTTTGTATATCTTACCATGCTGGAAAGTCTTTGAGTATAGTCCTGGAGACAGGCTGTGTATCTATTGTCCAAGGTTCAGTTTAGCTGAGTGCTGAGATTCCCATCCTTAAGAAAATAGCCATGAAGTGATGAATTGTTTCAGCTACAGTAGCTCATGAAGCTGGTTACTAAGGTTTGGAAGGGCTATGGTTTGCATTGGTGGAAGGTATATCCATACTGATGAGATCATGAATTTTTAAAGTATTGAAATTATTATTATTAATGTTATATGTTAATATTAAATAAGATGAATATGATTCCTGCCCTAATGGAGGTCATAATCTAGTAGGGGAGATGCAAACCTAACTAGAATATAAGAAATTATTAATTGGTATTTGATGAATTGGTTCTATCAGATAATTGGTCTTTTGTTTTCTAAAACATCACATTTCTAGAATGTCAGGAATACAGAAAGTTTACGTTGATATGACAGTGACCACAGTGTCTTTGTGACAGAAGAAAACATAAACTCTAGTCTAAAATGAACTGCAGCCACTTTGGGGAAATGGACAGGGAAGGACAAATGCCAAACTGTTTGTTTTCTTATGTTTCTCTAGTTTCTGTGTAGCCTGGTCTCAAGAGAACTTTGATTCTTTTGGAAGCTGTTAACTAGCATTTTGCTGACAGAAGGACATTTACGTAAAGCATGACAGCCAAGCCAAGCCCCAGCTAAAGGCATCCCAAAGGTTAGTTAAACAAGGACAGCTTTCAGCTGGATGTTCTGCTGCTGTTTCTCAGTTATGAAAGCTGCTTGTCAAGACCAGGCCTTTTGCTAAGTTCCTCCCTGATGCCTCACAGTTACCATGCTGCAAATCAGGTATACCTGACAGTCAGAACTTCTTTTAGCAAATTATTCCCACACCTAAAATGTTTTACAATTTACAAAAGGTTTTCTACTCTCTAAAGGAAGGAAGGCATGGTCCATGTCATTTGTTCTATCTTAAAGATAAGGAAACTGAGGCAACAAGAAGGGAAATGACTTTATTAAG